GCAACTACTAAACTTGTAATAACTGTGTATTCCTCCTGTGTTTCAGACTACCTGTCGGGTTTACTAGAACACGATCTGCGCATGCGCGTGGGAGCCGCAATACTTGCGGAGAAATATGCGAAGAACCCATACGCAGGGTAAGGCACATGATTTCTGAGCAGATTATTTAACGATGCTGAATTTAGTGCAAAGTTTATTTGGTTGTGAAAAAGGAAATTCTAATTTTCCCCTGTGCCTAAGCACTATGACATAAGCGTGTAGGGGGAGGTGTATTCCCGGCACAGCATCCGGACGGTTATGAGTCCCACGCGGTCTCCTAACCAATAGGACTCTTTCCGCGGGGTTAAAGCGGCTGGAGCTTGAATCTAACCACTCGCCACCATTCTGTGCGGATGCTAAGACTGCGTGGATCTATTTCTTTCAGTCACTTAAATTCCTTCATAGAGTGGTGCATGGACACAGGGGAAAATTTAGAATTAGGATTACCTTAAATGTTTCTTTGATTTTTGAAGTACGGAACGCGTAAAGTGAGGGTTAATCATTATTCATATCCACCAAATACAAGAAAACGCTGAAAGTGGAACGAGGCAGTTTTACTCTGAATTACGTCAGAAAGGAAACAAATTTCTATGGCGAAGAACAATGAAACAGAAACAAATGAAAAGGCTTCGCTGTTCTGAAGGAAAAGACTGCAATGCAAGTAGACATCCCGTGTTTCTCAACTTGTGGTCAATTATGTTGAAACCGGGCTGTGTCGAACGTGTCCTAGGCCAGCACACCGAGATTAAACATTAAAAACAGCGTCACTCAAGTAGTTACTTCGTATGTGTTTGGGGCCACAGCTCGTCTGCAATTTGGCAACTGATTTGGGCCGTATGCTACCCGCAGGCCACGAGTTTGGTACTCTGGCCTATAAAATAGAAAACAAAACCAAGAATACCAAACAAATTGAACACTTCCCAGTTCAGAGAAAGTTCCTTCAAGGGAGACAGTGCTTTTACTACTAGAAATCCCGAAAATGTGCATACGCCACGAATAAGAATGGCGCATGAGCCTAAATCTCAGTGCATTTCTCGCACCAAACCCCAGAAATACAATTTGCGGGGGGAAATGCAGTACAGCTGATTATTAAAGCAAGTGCAACGTGCACTTACTTCAAAATGTTAAACATCGCCAAGATATCGATGTCGGTGTTTCGGGTCGCGACGTCGTGTGGACTTTCTGGCAGATATATAAGAGACTTGAAGGAACATACTTCCTCCATCAGGGCTGAAGATGCGGACAGTATGTTCCTCCAGAACTTTAGTGTCTACCTACCTGTCCACATGACGTTATAACCCAGAACACGAACATCGACATCTTCGCCGTGGGAACCTCAAACCTCATCAGCAATGGACGCCGTTAGTATTACGCGTGAAAAGGAATAAGAATTAGGTATTTCCGTTTTTGTCTCGATACCAGTTGATGGAGCGACGGGAGTGAAAGTTTGTGTCTTGTGGCACACACTTCCCACTTGAAGGTGGACAAGTAAACACCGGCACTTTCCATTTCGCGCAGTTGGCGTATACAAAGCGCCGTCTCTTTGCGTTGTCCTTCTGAGGACAGCCCTTTCTTTCGATTTCTTTCGATTTCTTGTCTTTATTTCCTTGTCGCTCTCTATTTGTTTCGTCACGTGTTTACCTGAGGGGAGGGGGCAAGACAACAATATTAATATGTATGTTAAATAAATGGGATAGGTTAGGTTAGTGGATTCGCTTAGCTAAGAAGAGGGACCAGAGGCCGGTTATTATGAACACACTATTGAAACGTCGAGATCTATAAAAGATGGAGTAATTTCAATATCGAATGCACATTGTTCTTTTGCGAAAATTAGAATAGGGTAAGCATGTAGAGCGGATGCTAAAATAAAATACAAAGACTGTAACAGATCTGAGTAAAGAAAACTTACAAAATAAGATCAACACGAAAATAGAGTGGACCGTAAGTTGATTGCACTGGCTCAAATTGAAGTAATATTCCTCGATATAATATACTTCGCTCTGCCGGGTTCCTCCGTGAATTTAAGATATTGTAGTACATAAAAATCATGACACAACTTTCTGTTAATGGAGGCCTGCGCATTTGAAAATAAGATTTGAGCAACCAAAATGCACCAGATGGAATTCGTAAATCTGCGAGTCGGTGGACAATTCAAGTGTGAAATTCTACGAACAATTCGCCTTACTACTTTACACGGCAGTTACAAGCTGTTGTCACTTCTTTCTTTGTTTAACTGTTGCCCGAATTAAAATCTCATTTTACGGGCATTTCTCAAATAAAATAACGACGCTCCTGAGTTCACATAAACAAGACAGGAAATACAAAGCAAGCTTTTGGGATCATATTTATTAACCCTTTGAAGCCGAAGCTCGTATAAATATTACGTAAGAATTCAGTCCGTACCGCGAAGAAAACACCACACTTTACCATTACAAAGATCAACTGGTTAAACCAACAAACAAAACAAATGAACAGCATGTGTCCGCTCGAAGACTGACGCCGTGCGACCTAACCTAACCCAACCTAACCTAACCTAACTAAGCAAGTTTCGTTGCCGTACCGCTCAGTAATCTGCAACTCCCCGCAAACAGGTTGTGTCCGGATGTCAAAACGATCTGCCCTCCCAGCAAACGTTGCCGTACCGCTCAGTAATCTGCAACTCCCCGCAAACAGGTTGTGTCCGGATGTCAAAACGATCTGCCCTCCCAGCAAATACCGCAATCTGGATGGGTCCTGCAACAACGTGAGGCACCCCGAATGGGGCACCAGGGGGAGTCCGTTCAGGCGTCTGCTGCAAGCGAGCTACAGTGACGGTGAGTGAGTTCGTTTTAAGCAATGCAAATCAAACGAAATAATGGCAGATTATGAAACACGCCTAATTTGTGCTAATGGTTGTCGTGCTCTTCCCAAAGTTCTTAAAAATAATGTAGTCTATTTATAAACCTTTAAACAACGAGTAAAGGCATTTCACCGGAAGAAATAACTTAATTGCTAGGAGTCGTCCTCACTGCCATTATCAATAGACATTTTTAGCACACGAAAGGAAATTCTGTAATTGTTAAGTGGAAGCTCTGGAGGACAAGGAAACACATTCGAGACACTTGAGGCCGTCTTCTGCTTCAAAAGAATTGTCAGACGAGAAACATATGACGCTTGTTTAAACTGGAGATAACTGTCCACCGTTAAGATAAACGGACAACAGTATGTCGTGCCATACGAATTAGGTAGATACTTTCTTTATTCTCTCCATGGATATTGGTTGTAATCCTTCAAAAAAGATAGAGAAAGGGAGTTTGGGGGGACAGTGGAAGAGACGCAGAAACGGATAGTTTCTGCTGTATACATTCAAAGGCCAAAGCTCCCCTAAATAACATTAAAAGTTCAATGAAAATTCATTTCACCATTACAATAACCAATTTCCATGTCGGTCTTAGAATGGTTATTTTCCAAAAGGTGCTCTCCTCAAAATGCTCTATGCATTTCTTGTTTCTCTCATTTTCTATGCGGAAGGTAGTTAAATCTTTAAAATCACTGCTCTCAAACAGCAATCGGACTTTTCTCACAGACTACGTTGTTAACAAATGGAACCAACATAAAAATAAGACATCTGACGTTCTGCTTCGTGAGTGCTGGCATATGCAGAGTCCGTGATATTTGAAAACTTTAAAACACCTGTAATTTAACGAAAGGAACATATATACGTATAATTCACGTAGGTTCATCAACTAAACCCCTTTATTACGTTAACATCAGAGCAGAATATTGAGGTCTTCTGTTTGCTTACAAGTGGAAAGACGGACGAAGAAATTAAAGAAGCATTTGAAGGGAAATTTCATATTCCAGACACACACGAGCTAACGTAGACTGTTACAGACCAGAGAAGGTTCTTTCTTCTCTGGCAGTGGTGTTTCAATTTCTGCAGATGTTACAACGCTCATGAAACTGCAAAGTCTGAAAATATGTTTCGCGTCATTTCTTTAAATGTCAACCGTTCTGAAAAAAACTATTCAAATAAATGTTACTCTTTTTCGTACATGTCACTTCCTTTCCAAATCTGCCGTTTGTGATCTTATAAAATCCAATTCGGGCTTCACGTCCAGTAACTGGTCCATTCGTTATAAGATACGAACCCAAATTAAACTTGCCTGACAGATTACACTTTATATCAAATCTAAAACTTCTTGACGATGGTGAGGAGTCAATTGAATAAAAATTTACTTGGATATTATCCATCGTCTAGTAATAAAACGTAAAAAAACGTAAAACGACGTTTCGGAGATGGGGCTCTATCTCCGTCTTCAGGTTCCTACTCAGTTGGGCCCACTAGATAGAGCTAATCCCTATCTCCGGA